AATTTAAAATTCTTCACATTCAAAATAAAGGCATTAAGCTATCTTTGTTAGAATCTATGGAAATCAGCAAATTAAAAAACACAGATATAATTCTGAATGACCAACTTGAGACAAATAGTTCTTCCCTCCTCAACCTATTTCTTTAGAGACTATAAAGTGTAAACTCATGCCAAAAATAGATCACTTGAGAAAGGCAATCAGCAGAAACCGCTGCGCTGTAGGGATCATAGTTTAAAATCAAATTTGTGAAAGTTTGAAAACAAAGTTTTCGGTGCTTTATTGTTACACAATTTTGGCATTAATAAAAAAGAAACGAATAATTAATAGAAGAAGATACGATAAAGAAGCATACGAGGTCACTGTCACGGGGTAGACAAACAAAAGGGAACCACGGATAAGGTGTTATGACATTAATTCTATACTTGGAGGGTGTGAGAGTGGTATGGAATAAATCTAAATAATAGTAACAATATTTTTAGTGAATAATATGTTATTATTTTTTGAGGTTTTTAATAATAGTGTAGGTCTCGTTAGAAAATATTTTAAAACGCGCTTTAAAATAAAATATTATCTAGCATGATGTTATTTACCATGATTTCACAAAATGGAGCACGTCCGATGTGTTATTGAATATATCACTAAAACATTATAAAAACATCTAATTAAATTGCTTTTAATTGATTTAAATTAAAACTTTCTTTAATTTAGTTACTTAAAAATTGAGTACGTCAGGGTCTACGATTCAGAAGTACATTGTGAGACAAAAAAATATCAGAAAGATGAAGTGAATTAAATAGTAATAACAAAACTTGTAAGTTAATTGTAATACAGTAGTATATTAGCTTTTATTTCCATCATTTTGTCAGCATTTAACATTAAGGCAAATTTGAAGGTGTAATGTTAAAATTATTTTGTTATTTTAGTAATAATGAAATGGTAACGTCGGCAATTATAAACCTACGTTGAGTGCTTTTTTATTAATTTTGTTCCAGAAATTTAATTTCGGTTGTGCATTTTTTATTTTTGAAACAGAATACATATATTTTATAAATTAAACTAAGCTTAAATTCACTTATAAATTATACATTTTACGGAATATGAGAATAATGATATTTAAGTATACCATAAACTTGTAAGTATGTACTCACACTTCTAGCAACATATTTTCCTAATGCCATTTTGTAGTTGATAGAAATAAGAGGGTTCGGGTCACTATCTCTGACAATTAACTGCAATGGATGCTTTAAGCCAAATCTTGTTTACTACTTTACATAAAGTGTTTACTGTGAACAAAATAATTCAGTTCCAATAATTAAGTTCTAAGTTAATCAATAGTACCAACTAACAATTTTACTCATTAAATACTGCAAACAATATTTTAGTTCAAAAATTACGAATTAATTTAATCAATTTAAAATTAAAGTATATATATATATATATATATATATATATATATATATATATATATTATATATATATTATATATATATATATATATATATGTATAAAAATCGGTTCGGCTTTTTGTCTAATAAATGCACTAGTGATGCCATATTTTCTGTATTACATGATGTATATATATCACTAAACAGTAACCTCTTCTCTGCCACCGTTTTCTGCGACTATTCCAAGGCCTTTGACTGCGTAAATCACGACATTCTATTAAAAAAATTAACTTTCTATGGAATTCGGGGTATGTCTTTGAACTGGTTCAAAACTTACTTGGTAGGTAGGAAATAATTGGCTAGAATAAATGACACCGACTCTAGTTGTAAAGATATTGAGTGTGGAGTACCGCAAGGTTCAGTATTAGATCCCATTCTTTTTTTACTTTTCATTAATTAAATCACTTACTTGAAAATTAAAGGGAAAATTTTTCTATTTGCTGATGATACCAGTATTACTTGGAGCAGCTCTGATATTTCAACGCTTCATTCAATTATAACCGCTGATTTACTTATAATCAAGGCTTGGTCAGACTCCAACTTACTTAGCTTTAACGTGGATCATACTAACTAGCCTTAATGATTAATTAAAGAAATAATATTTCTCTAATGTTTTCTTACATTGTTAGTTTTTGCATTTTAAATAGCTTTTAGTTGTTTCCATCTCATTTACTTACTGTTAACGAACGTGCTCATATATATTTACATTTTAACAAGCTTACACATTATCAAAAAATGTTTATTTTAATATCAAATTTATTTATGTGTGAAATCTTTTAAGTTCTGTAAGTATTGTAAATCTAAGTGTACGTCAGTTTTTTGAAATGTTTGTTTTTTAAAGTTACTCCTGATGAAGCTTTTAAATAAAGAGCGAAATATTCAGTTTTTGGAAAAACAAAGATTTTTATTTAATATAGACCACATACCCGATATTTCCAACATACTGATAAATTGTTTCTTGGTCGAAATAATCACGTTAAATATATATATATATATATATATATATATATATATATATATATATGTGTGTGTGTGTGTGTGTGTGTGTGTGTGTGTGTGTGTAGTGTGTGTGTGTGTGTGTGTGTGTGTGTGTGTGTGTGTGTGTATGTGTGTGTGTGTGTGTGATTTGATATGAACAAAATGTATAAATATTGAAAATAGATAATTTCACCTTAATAACAACCAACCTTAATAATTCATGAAAATATATCATTCTTCTAACGTTTCTTTTATGGTTATTTTTATTTTTACACTTAACTGGGAATAAGCCACAATTGAAGATAAAAATACGTTTATTGACGTTTCAATTTCCACTTCGGAAATCGTTCTCAAAATACAACCATAGTAACCATATACAAACTTATTCGCAGTTAAATGGTAATTAATTTAAAGTGCCACAAGAAAATAGCTTCAGAATAATATATGTAACTAACGTGCTTAAGACAATTTAATTTTGACATTTATTACATACTTCAATGTCAATTTTTATTTTTGAAATATTTTAATTTCTGTAAGTTTTTAAATGTATTTGTATGCCATGTTTGTAATGCTAAAATTATGGATTTGTAATCCATAATATGGTCTTTGTAGATTACATGCTCTGCCAAAGCACAAGATGATTTCTTAATTCTGCAATCACTTTTGTGAGAAATAATGCGATTTGAAAGACTTCTTCCGGTCTCAACAACATACTCAGCTTCACACTTAGTACAACTAATTCTGTATACTACATTTGTTTTATCTAATTTGTCCATAGGATACTTAGATTTGGAATATAAAGATGAAATTGATTTGTTGTTCTTTGTTGTTATTTTTATAGTGTCAAAAACCTTTAGTGTTTGTATTAATTTAGGTGTTAATGATGGTATAAAAGGTAGTGAATGATAATAGATGTTCTGATTGTTGGATACAATGTTCTGAGATTAAGCAAAAAATAGTGTTAAGTTTAATTAAATTTTAATTTAATCCAGATTATCTACAAGAAGATCTTCAATTGTTAAAAAATATTTTAATTGAAAACTCGTATCCTCCAGATCTGCTACATAGGATGCTTTTTTCTAATATTTTTAATATAAATACCTTAAAACAATTTTTTGCTAAATCTCAGAACATTTTATTCAACAATCAGAACAGCTATTATCATTTACTACCTTTTCTACCATCATTAACACCTAAATTAATATAAACATTAAAGGTTATTGACAATATAAAAATAGCACCAAAAAATATCAAACTCATTTCATCTTTATATTCCAAAACTAAGTATCTTCTTCTTCTTCAGGTGCAAATCCACTAATGGATGTTAGCGATCACATTTTCCATTAACTCTCTATTTCTTGCAATATGTATCAGAGATTGTATGTCGTTAATCCCTGTCCATTGCCTTATGTTTCGGAGCCAGGACATTTTCTTGCGTCCCATTCCTCTCTTGCCTTCAATTTTACCCTCGATTATAAGTTGGAAGAACTGGTATTTTTCATTTCGCATGATGTGACCTAGATACGCCGTTTTCCTTTTCTTGATGGTTTCGAAAAGTTGGCGTTCTTGGTTTATTCTTTTAAGGACATCTATATTTGTGATTTTCGCTGTTCATGGTATTTTTAGGATACGGCAATAAAGCCACATTTCGAAAGCTTCCAATCTGTTTATATCCCTCGTTTTGAGTGTCCAGCCCTCTACGCCATATAGCAGCACTGACCATACGTAGCACTTAGTAAACCTTAGTCTCAGTTGAAGATCGAACTCAGAACAAGTCAGTACCTTCTTGAATTTTACGAAAACTAAGTATCCTAGAGACAAATTAATTTGTTTCTCAAATAAAATGTTCTTAATAATAATATGCTCAATAACCGAAACAGAGATCAAATCGAACAAAATATCACCATCAATAACTTTAACTTTGGGCGCATCAGAGAATTTAAGTATCTTGGAAGAACAACTGAAGATAAAAATGAATCACAAAAAAAAATAATAGGATACAAGCCGGAAATAGACGTATTTATACCCGTCAAAACTTAATAAAATCAAAACAATTAACAAGACATACTAAGATCCAACTAAATATAACAGTCATACGACCAGTAGTGATGTCTTTTTTTCGTGTGCCTCGCCCTTTAAGAACCTTGGCGATCATCACGACCCATTTATTATTTATTATTATTTATTATATTATTCAATTATAGATACTACAATATATTCTTGGTAGTCTTGTAGCAGGTAATCGATTTTAATCCTGTAATAAAAGGGTGATTCAAAAGTATATTCCAAATAGCCACAACAGAAATCTTAATTCGTAAATATCTTAATTCACTAACACTAATCCTAATCAAATGTTATTTAAAAGCGTTTTTTAAGGTAACTACTGACCGCCATCAATTTTTGTTTATTTGTGATTAATATAATTATTAATATATAAGTGTTAAAAAATATTATGTTTCTAAATATCATATCTAAATAAAAATTATGTGTGTATAGGTACATAATAATATGTATGTACCTGTATTTGTAAAATGGAGCTTTCTGCGTTGAATGTTGATTGAATGTTGAATGTTAGTTATGGGAGGATATGTTAGTATTTTGTTTTAAACATAACAAAATAAGGTAAGTTGAATTGGTTTAATTATATTTAGTTATAATAAATTGTTTGTATTTTTGATAGATAATATCCAAGAACTGAAATGCCACAGATAAAAAGTATTTGAATATTTTGTTGGTAAAAAAATCTTTATTTAATGATTTTTTTTAAGTTCTTCTGATTTTGAGTTTTTAAAATAAATAATAAACAATGTGACTCAAACGCTTCATTTTGTATTACATTTTCTAATTTACATAGCTCAAAACTTTAAACTGTTTGTCGCTAGCTGCTGGTACCAGAATATTCCTACTAGTCTAAACCAGAAGGTGACATTAATAATTAAAAACCTACTTTGTGCAACTCTGCTTCTACAGATAGTGGTTGGAAAATCTATTATTAAAAGTTTATTCATATGAGAACGTATATTTTTAGACGATTATAAAATTAACCGCAATTAATGTTATTTTTCTAAACAAAAATCATCCCCAAACGAAAATTGGTATATTGGTATATTCCATTGTCTGTTAAAGACAAATATTCGAGTTTTTTTATTATCGGAATGTATCGCTTTTAATTTAAAGTAGACATTCCTACAAAGTTAAAACCGTTACCAATAACTCCTTACTAATACTCCCACAAACCTGTTAAATTTTATGTGTTTATAGGGGATGGAAGTGTGTTGCAGACAAATGAGAGCCGGTTAAAATATTTCAGAAATTTAGAAACAAATTTTTGAATTCTGAAATATTTAAATGAAACACTTATTCCATAAATCGCAACAGGGAGACCTTTTGATAAGTTAAAATTTACAGAATTTCGTATGCTGTATTGGTCGAACTAAAAAAGATAGCCCTCTATAACCTGTTTTGTTTCAAAATTCAAGAAAAAACCAATTGAATTTGTTTTTTAACGATGGTGGTTATTACACAACGATTAACCATATTAAACAGTTAAAATGTTGAAAGTGAATTTATATAGATTATATTGTTGGTAATGTATCGAAAACAAGAAAAATATAAATTTTACTGTTTTTGAGAAATTGGGATTTCTGTGTGTGTTTGGAATACTAAAATATTATTGGTTGTAAATTTGAAAGCGGAGAAGAGAGAGTCTGTTTCTGTTCGTAAAAAGAACAATCATTAAAGCTGAAAAGAGATTGCATGCTGGTAAATTTAAACGATAGACAAAAATTAAATTGTAAGGATTAAATAGTAATATTGTTTTTGAAAGTGTTTCAAAAAGAGGTAGCAATAGCGATTCCATCTATGCTAATTGGTAGCAGTGCAGAAGTTAGTGTTATCAGTATTTGTACCAATAAATTATCATTGCATTGGGAGAAGCTTAGGCTAGAAAAAATGTGTATCCAATAAAGATAAGAGTTTTGTTTAGAACTTGAGAACGAGATAGGTTTTTGGATGAAAATCCAAGGACGGAGTTTAGATAGAAGAAAGAAATCTAAACTCCCTAAACTCCCTCCTTGGATTTTCATCCAAAAACGTATCTTGTTCTCAAGTTCTAAACAAAACTCTTATCTTCTATTGGATACACAATTTTTCTAGCCTGAGCTTCTCCCAATGCAATGATAATTTATTGGTACAAATACTGATCACACTAACTTCTGCACTGCTACCAATCATTCTAGATTGGTATTTCTTTCTTTAAAACGACAGTGGACAGCTTATCACTGATGACAAGGAAATCTTAAAAACCTGGAAGGAATACTTCTATCAACTATTGAATGACCAATCTAGCAGAAGTACATCAAACATAGAGGTACATACAGCTGAAATAGAAGACCAATACCTGACATACGAAGAAGTAATACAGGCAATTAAAAAACTCAAAAATAATAAGACACCAGGTAGCGATGGTATACCCGCAGAGTGCTTAAAACATGGAGGAGAAGCGTTGTACAGTTCGATATACAAGCTAATTCAAGACATTTGGCAAGAAGAAACAATGCCAGATGAATGGAAAGTAGGGGTTATTGTACCAATACACAAAAAAAGGAAACAAAAAGCAATGTATTAACTACAGGGGAATAACACTCCTAAACACCACCTACAAAATCCTTGCAAACATCCTGCTAGAAAGAACCAAAACATACACAGAAGAAATCGTGGGAGATTATCAATGCGGATTTAGACCGGGCCGCTCTACAATTGACCAGATATTCACAATAAAACAGATAATGGAAAAATGCTGAGAGTTTGATCGTGAGCTTCATCAGATGTTCATAGATTTTAAACAAGTATTTGATAGAGTATGTAGGGACAGACTGTGGACAGCGATGCAGCAACCTGGCTTTCCAAAAAAACTAGTCCGGTTGATACGGATGTGTATGGAACGGTTACGATGTAAGGTGAGAGTTGGACAACAATACTCGGAGACATTTGAAATAAACAATGAACTAAAACAGGGAGATGCACTTTCACCACAACTCTTCAACTTAGCTCTGGATCACATAATCAGAAGTGCAAGAATCGAAAAACCGAATACAGTATTTCATCGAGAAGGACCAAACTTACTACTGGCATTTGCAGACGATATAGATCTAATAGGAAACACGCGATTAAGGATGAAGGAGACTTTCGTAAGGTTTGAGAAGGAAGCAGAGAAGATGGGGCTCCAAATCAACGAAAACAAGAAGAAATATATGTATATGAGCCGCAATAACCAAAGCAGAGACAGAATCGGTCAGAACATTTCCATCGATGACTTTAACTTTGAGCTCGTTAGAGAATTCAAGTATCTTGGAACAACACTAACTGAAGACAATAACGGATCACAAGAAATAAACAACAGGATTCAGGCCGGCAACAGATGTATTTTTGCCCACCAAAACTTTATAAAATCAAAACAACTAACACGACGTACGAAGATACAGGTCTATAAAACAATCATACGACCCGTTGTGATGTATGGAGGCGAAACGTGGACGATAACAAAGGCAAATGAAGAGAGACTACGTGTTTGGGAAAGAAAAATCCTAAGGAAGATCTTTGGTCCGGTGCTTGATATAGCATCAGTACAGTAAAGAGCTTGAAGAACTTTACCCAGACGCCAACATCATAAAATAAATAAAGTCCAGAAGACTCCAATGGGCAGGACACCTCAGAAGACATTCTGACGAACGAACAGTAAGACTGGTGTGGGAGGAAGTCCCAACTGGAAGGAGACCACGCGGACGCATTCGTCTCCGGTCTCCGATAATATAGCAGGAGACCTAAGCACTATGGGCGTGGAGAATTGGATGGAGGTTGCTCAAGACAGAAAACAGTGGAGACATGTTGTCGAGTCGGCTAAAACCCACGAAGGGTTGTAACGCCACGGAGTAAGTAAGTAAGTATGAGTTTAGATAGAGAGTTGACAAGAGAGTATCCGGGTCAATTTTAGAATTAAAAGAAATTGAAAGGTAATTGGTTTCTTAGAATTTGAGAACTATATTATATAGATATAAAGTTTTAAAACGGAACAGTAAATAATTAAATTGAAAAAGTTGTTTGTTTAAGTTCTGCAAAGTAGTATATTTCATCTAGTAAAGGAACTCAATTTGGGCTGCGCAGTTTTTTAATTGTTAGGGTATATTTTTATGCTTATATATGTCTAATAAATTTTTCAATGCATTTTATCAATATATTTAAATTTTATTGAACATTTTGGAATTTCTCTTACATATTTCCTTCTATTTCTGTTGTATATATTGAACACAATTAAAGGGCAAAGGTACTTTAGAACTCATAAAAGAAGCCTGAAATTAAATTTAAACATCTGATTTACAATTTGGCGTTTATAAAGAATGAAATGAATAAACGTTTCTAGAATGGTGACTAAGGCAAAATGCATATCGAAGCAGAGGACGACCACCGACTAGATGGATGGATGATATCAAGCGCATCATCACAAACTGGATGCAAGAAGCTCAAAATAGAAATAGGTGGAAAATTTTACGGGAAGCCTACGTTTAGCAGTGGACAAATATAGGCTAATTGATGATGATGATGTATATAAAGAAGATCATTGAGATATTTATTTAATTGAAAAACTGACTTATTTAATCTTATTGTTTATTTGGTCAATTTTATTGAACTTAATAAAATCAGTAACTGTATCTACATCTATATTAAATGTAGTTGATTTGTTAGTTGTTCCTCTGTAATCATCAGAGTCTTGTACCAATATTGCCACAAATTGGTAGCATTGCTCCTGTAGTGATCATTTTCCAAGTTAACATGCTCTCTTCTTAACTTAGCTGCACCGTATTAAAGACGATCAATTGTCAGAAATACGTATACACGGATAAAACGCATAATATACATAGTATGTCAACTCTATGCAAATTTACTTTTGATTGCCAATCATATAACAAAGGGTCATATTTTGTATAGTATTTTTTATTGCAAGAACATACAAAAAATATAGTATAGTCATAAATAAATAGTTGTGTAATATTTTTATTAATTAGGATAAGATAAAATTTAAATTAATTCTAATAAATAATTAGTTACTATCATGGACCACTTACATTCAATTTTAGTCAACTTGGTTAATATTTGCGGCAGATAAAGTTCTTCTTCTTTCATTGCAATAAAGTGTTACTGTACTGCCGCAAATGACTACATTAATGAATGACTATAATGACAGAAAAAATATTTGATTTTAAATAATTTTGATAATTTTTAAATAAAATGTTTATTAAGAATGTTTTTTAATGTCAATGTCAAGTGAATATAATCAAATTCGGGCTTCTGTATTATTAAATAATTAGTTCTTATTTGCAAAATCTAGTGCATATTTAAATAAAAAATAATACATATTAATATTTTTGAGAAATATTGTGCCTATACATAAATGTATAGGCATACGTGCATTTTCGAAAAATGTTATACGAAGAAGTCCAGCCGTCATCAGATTGAGGACTAAATATACAATTAGTTAGTTTAAAGAGTGATTTGTCTGAGTTCTTATTTATATTATTAATACATTTTGCCGACCATATTTATGTTTGCCCTCAAAAGTATTTTAAATGAAAAATCAATATAGATTTCTATTTTCGTGCAATCAAACTACTCTTTATTTAAACGAGCAAGAGCTGGCGATGACTGCGTAGAATATCCTAGATTAATTGATGAGATAAAAAACAACAACAAACCATTTGTGAAAATAGGTATTGGAGTATGCATATAATAACTGCATGGACAAATATATGTAATGTCTGAAAACATTGTCTGAGTTACGAAAATAAATAAAGAAAATAAACTAAAATTTAATGAATGTTTCTAATAAAGATTAAACAACGTATTTTAACAGATACTTGTCGGTGTTTATCAATAAAATTACGTTAATGTTTATTTAAATATTTGTTAATATTTCTTATAGTGCATTGATTTTTTCTTCTTCTAGTTTTATGACCTTTATAAATCTTTGGATACCGTGTTGGCTACCGTATTCGATATCTTGAGTTTATGGACAGTAGCTCTAAATAACGATGTAGTCGTTTTTCCCTACCCTTGTCTTAGATTTTTCAGCCATGATGTTCTTCTAGCAGGACCTCGTTTACCTTAGATCTTTTCCTGAATGATCAGATGTAAAAGTTTGTATTTTTCAGAGTGTCTAATAATGTGAATGATGTATTTCAGCTTGCGTCTCTTTACTATATTAACCAGCTGTGGTTCATGCGTCTAAGGACCTGCTCATTTCAAACTCTGTCGACCCAGCTTATTCGTAGTAGTCGTCTATATAACCACATTTTAAAGTCTTTCAAGCGTCGCCTCATTTAGGGTCCATGCTTCCGCTCCATACAGTAATACCGGAAAAATATAACAGTATGACATTCGAGTCTCGTGTTGGAAACTTCGAATTGGAAACAAGTATCTAAGAAGTAATTGTGTATAATTATCTTATCTTTTGGTAATTAGTATCTCTAATTAGTATAAGCTATTCGTTGTCAAGAAACTTAATAATAACAATAATCGACAAAAGTGTTTCTGTTCAATGTTGTTATAATTATTCAACAAGGAACTAATACAAATTTAATTACTACATTTATTAACATAAATATAAATAAAATAGTCCGGTATATTACCAAAATATGCCGGAGTATATTAATAATTCCTAGTTGTAATTAGTGAAAAAATATAGATCACCAACCAGATTACCAAGAACTAACTAGTTATCAATGCATTGAGGACATAACTCCAGCTATTAGAAAATCCTGCCTTGCCGGGACTCCTCCAACTGGAAGAGACTGAAAACATAGTTACAACTCACTATAGAGTATAGATATAAACAGCAATAAAAAATTTAGAACAAACACAACGGTCTACATACGAATTTACCAAACTTTTAAATAAAGAAACCACAAAAGAGTCTATCAGATGCAGATAAGGTAAAAAGTGATAGTGAATGGGTATCAGTCCACCACAAGAAACGTCAACGCAACGATGATGGTCCTGAATTGAAAAGCACTAAACAAGCTACACTCAAAGATTATTGGCTAAGAAAAACTGTTCTTACATCTAACAAATACGAGGCACTTAAAAATGATAAACCTAGTAAAGAGGTTGAAATGCTGGAAGACCAAAAAGATGAACAGCCACCACTTATATTTATAGAACATGTCGACTATATAAAACCATTACAGGAGTTACTACAGCAGATAACTGCAGGTAAATAAACTTTAAAATGTCTTGCTAACAACCAAATAAAAGTTGAAGCTGAAGCGTCCAAAAAATATGCATTAATTGTATAATCTTTAGCAGAAAAAAATACCCAGTACCATACATAACATTAAAAATGCGTTGCTAGTACACGGACATAAAGCACTGAACATCTCCGACATTAAGCAAAGAGGCTCAAAGAAAGATTTGGCTCTATTTAATACAGAACTGGCTATTTAAAGTAATAATAAAGATATAATATTATATTAGCAAGCAATTATATTAGAGAAAAAAACGCAAGTCAATCACCTCGTGCAAGTACGTCCTTCAATCACTCAACCAACTATCAGTTATGCGAAAATTGTTGCAGGAAGAGATAATAGAAATGCATCTGCCATAGATGAGACTTCTCATGTAGTAAAAAACAACTCCTCAACATATACAAAATAATCTAGAATTACTAGTACATAAGTTAATGGAAAGAATGGATAAGATGTTTGATCTCATAATGTCTCTGATATCTAAGCTTGACCTTTAACACTAAACTAAAGATGTGCTGTTGAATACACTTCTATATTTCCAAATATTTAACCTATGTAACTCAACAGCCATAAAATGAAGCTCACGGAGGTACGGCAATTTTTATAAGAAATAATATTAAGGATCATGAAATAAATAAAATTAGTAAAGTTAACATTCAAGCCACGTCAGTGTCGGTCGAAGATTCACAGGGCTCGATTATTTTGTCTGCTATTTATTGCCCACCGAATAAAATAGTTAAAACTGATCATTTTACTGAATACTTTAAGATGCTCAGACACCGGTTCATTACTGCTTGAGAGTATAACGCTAAACATCATAAATTGAGCTTCAGAATCATAACCTCACGTAGACGAGAATTATTTAAAAGTATTAATGAAAATCGTTTAATTCCTCTCTCTACTGAAGAGCCTACTTATTGGTCCACTGATAGACAAAAAATTCCTGATCTTATTGATTTCGCAATAGTAAAAGGAATATCACATACTTACCTCTAAATTGTTCCTTTATTGGACCTCTCATCAGACCATTCTCCTTTTTTTATAGATCTACATAGCCAAATTCGTAGCTGTCCAAAAAATTTAACACTCTCGAATAGAAGAACAAATATTAACATTCATTATCTTAAACTTGCCTCTTAGAAGTGATAGCGACATAGAAAATGCAGTTGCTCACTTAACTACAGTTGTTTAGCAAGCTGCTTGGACGTCCACCCCCAAGAATACTTAAAAACATATTTACAAGTCACCACAAGCTGCCACCACAAAAGAGGTGGCAGCTCACTAGGGATCCAGAACATAAAGCAAATCTTAATAGAGCTTGCAGACTACTCAAAAGAAAACTGATCTAACTTAAAGACAATGAAATCATCAAATATTTAAAGAACCTCTCACAAACTATTCGATGTGGAAACTGAAAAAAACTTAAACACAACGAACTCGGTTAAAGAAGAGCACGCTATTCATGAAATCGTAAATGTACCATATCAAATGGCTCCTATTAAATCTGTTTAGAAATCTGAAATCAAAGAGCTAATTGATAATCTCAAAATTAAACAGTCACTTGGATATGATTTAATATCTAGTTTAGTACTAAAAAATCTACCCAACGAAGGCGTAAGTTTAATTACTTATATATTTAATTCTATATTAAAAAACAATTTTTTTTCCAATTCAAGTCCATGGAGTTCTCCTCCAAGCTGCTCAAATTGTTCTTATTCCAAAAAATAATATGGATCACACAAAAATATCTTTATATCGCCGAATTAGCTTGTTGCCTATTATATCCAAAGTATTTGAACGGTTTTTTTCTGAGAAGACTGAAACTTATTTTATATGACAGTAATGTTTAACCGAATTATCAGTTTGAGTTTATTAAACAACATGGTATCATCAAGCAAATTCACAAGGTGGTAAAGACTATCAGAAATTTTTAGATTCTACCTAACAGACTGATTGTTTCAAGTCAAAAGAGGTGGGGAAATCACTAAACTGTTTCCAATTTGTTCCGTTCCACAAGGAAGCATTCTAGAACCCACCCTTTCCTTAATTTACATATCAGATCTACCAACGACGACCAATGCAACCATCGCTACATATGCCGATGACATAGTTACATGGTTCAAATTTTACAGCAACTGAAGCATCTCAGGTATTAAAAATCACCTACATACTACAGAACTGGCTTAAACTATGGCGAGTACAAGTCAACAGTTTAAAATCAACACAAATACCGTTTAATTTAAAAAAGGTGTCGCGCCACCAGTTTCTATAAACACTCCACTACCAGTTATGCCGTCGTTATGTACTTGGAAATTCATTTGGATAGCAAACTTAATTGGGGCGTCCACATCTGCAAGAAATGCCTTCAACTCAGCTTAATCTACAGGAAAATGTATTGGTACATGAGTCGAAAATCAAATCTAAGCCTGGAAACAAACTTCTGATATATAAATGTATTTTAAAGCTGGTATGACAATATGCAGCACAATTGTGGGGCACAGTAAGTTATACCAACAGACAAAAACTTCAACGATTCCAATCCAAAGTACTGCGCCAGATCTGTAATGCCCCTTGGTATATTAAGAACCACAGATTATACCACGATTTACAGTTACCAACAGTTAGCGAAATAATATCTTCTGTAAACTCTGTATAAAAGACAAGACTATCCTGCCATCCAAATCCGCTGGCCACGGATCTGCTTCAACATTTCACACGTCATAGTGCGGAGAAATAACAAGTTTTTATTCTGGCGATTTCTAACTTTTTTCTTGATTTTGTTAGTCTTGTAATACTCATATGTGTGTCAGTGTTTTTTATCTGTATTAAACTTTGTTTGTTAAGTTGAAGTTTAAATTAATTGGTAATATCACATATTAAACTTCTGTAGTGTTTGGGAGAAACATGATAACTCCAAAATAGCGAAAATATTGTTACGGCTTGGTATAATATCGATAAGTCCTTATTATTCAAATTTTGTTTGTTATATTCCTGTTAAAATATTATATCATGTACCCAAAAACAAAACTAGACAATAAACTTTTGGTTCATATCTGATAAATGGTACTTATCATGTCTAGCTCAAATAATATGGACCTTCTTGTGGTAAAATATTTTGGTCCATATGTGATAATTGGTACTTATCATAATTATATCAAATAATATGCAAATTATTTTGGTAATTTTATGGTATGTCCCACTTAACATTTTTGATTCAAATAAATATTATATTTAAGTAGCATTTTCTGTAAGTTTTTTTCATGTAAGTGTTAAAAAACATAAATATATCAAACTTTTCTTTTCGTTGTTTTGTACTTATAATTGTTCATAAGCATTTGGTGGTATTCACGAACCTGTCGATTGCATTTGGTTAGTGTTAAGGTCTTCTTCTTCTTCTTTAAGTTCCATCTTCTATCGAAGGTTGGAAATCATCACGGCTATGCGGACTCTGTTGACTGCCGCTCTAAAAAGTTCTGCACTACTGCATTCAAACCATTCCCTTAAGTTCTTAAGCCAGGATATTCTTCGTCTTCCCACATTTCGCTTTCCTCAGATTTTGCCCTGCATAATAAGTTGTAATAATGCGTATTTTTGCTCTCTCATCACATGTCCCAAGTACTCAAGTTTTCGTCTTTTAATAGTTAATATTATTTCCGCCTCATTTCCTATCCTTCTAGTTACTTCCATGTTTGACATTCTTTGAATCCATGATATTCGTAGGATTCTTCTGTAACACCAAAATTCAAAGGCGGCCAGCTTATTCAGATGAACTTGTTTTAGTGTCCAAGCTTCCAGACCATAAAGAAGAGTAGAGAACACGTAACATCGAAGCATTCTCAGGCGTAGTTCTAACCTTATATCCCGACAACAAAGAAACTTTTTAAGTTTAATAAATGATGTACGTGCTATTTCAATACGTGTCTTAATTTCTTTGGTTTGGTCTACATCTGATGTTATCCATGTTCCTAAATATTTATAGTTATTAACATTCTCAATTGCAGTATCTTCAATAGTCAATTGGATATTTGCATGTGCAGATTTAGTCATGATCATGCATTTAGTTTTCTTTAAATTTATCTTCAGTCCGTACTCATGACAGCGTTCATTAAGGCGTTGCATTAGGTTCTGTAAATCATTGTTGTTATCCGTAATTATTACTGTATCGTCTGCAAAACGTAAGTTATTCAAAACTTCTCCATTGATAGATATACCTTCTATTGAGTCTGAGAGCGCTTCTTGAAATACCGCTTCACTGTAGACATTGAAAAGTAGTGGGGACAGCACGCAACCCTGGCGGACTCCTCTCTGTATTTTGATATTTTCGGTGTACTGGCTGTCAACTCTTACCTTGGCAGTTTGATTCCAATATAAATTAGATATAATTTTCAGATCACGACTGTCAATATTTTTGCTTTTTAATATATCTACAAGATTTTTATGTTGAACTTTATCAAATGCCTTTTCAAAGTCTACAAAACATAAGTACATATCCTGATTCATGTCCATGCATCTCTGAGCCAGCACATTCAAGCCGAACAAAGCATCTCTTGTACTCATACCATTTCTAAAGCCAAATTGTGTGTCACTAATCTCATATTCAAGAGTTTTAACAATTCTGCTATGAATTATTTTCAAAAATGTTTTAAGTGTGTGACTCATTAAAGCTATTGTTCTGTGGTCTGAGCAAGTTGTTGAACTTGGTTTTTTGGGAATTGCTACAAAGGTTGATTGCAGCCATTGTCTGGGGATTGTGGCAGTCTTATATATTAGATTAAAGAGTTCAACCAGTACATCAATAACATCTTCATCGATGAGTTTTAATAATTCGATGGGCACCTCATCTGGTCCAGTAGCTTTACCCTCTTTTGTGTTTTTGATGGCATAGATGACTTCTTCTCTTAATATTGGTGGTCCAGTATCCTCGATGATTTCTAATGACAGTTCTTCTCTTTCATCATTAAATAGTTG